AGTTTTTTGTTTGTGTTGCTGTCTGGTTTACTGTTCCGTGGACAGAAGCCAAATCAACTAACCTGTATACTATAGGCTAATTTCAGTAATATCGATCCGACACCGAAACGCAGGGAGGATACGATTGTAATCGTGATTCTTTTTGGTGGAGCAGTAGGTTTCGGGAGTTTTGAGGTTGACTTCAGGAATCTGACCTTGCTGATAAAAACTGTAACGGATAAGCTGTAAACCTACCCAGCTGTATGCTAAACCAAAACACCTGTTGGGTATTCTGGAGCGAACTAAAGCCGTCCGGTTTATCGTGACTGATTTCACAGGAGAGCAGTCATAACCCGGATACTAACATGCGTACTGCAAGCCCGAGTTGACAGGGAAAAAATCAATTTTCAAGAAGTGGACATAGTGATTAAACCCGGTTTCAATCTCAGTGAATCAGGCCAAATTCGAATATGCTCACTGTGTCTATATGAAACATATCCAGCAAACACATTTCCGAATTCAGTTCCATCATTTGCGAGAAACGCCTGAACTCAGGTCGAATAAATGCTTCCTACGAAACGGATATCTCTTTTAGATTTGCCGTCGGGAACAGTTGCAGGCAAAAACACAATCAGATCTAATGTACTACTCATAAGCTTGTTGAACATTCTTTGACAGCTCAGGACCGGTTTCGCCCTTCTTAGGGCTCATCAGGTAGACGAAGTCCTCGAGTTTCCGTCAACCCTATGTTCTACTTGAAACCAGATTGCACGAACTTAGCGAAATACACTCATTCGGTTTTTCGAAAGACTCGCCTGGAACCCAGCTGAATCTCTTGTTTGTGATATTTCCAGGCAACTGAATGTGCTGCACCAGACCAGATCTATGTCAAAATGCATCGTTTTACTTTGACAGCTTCCGTTACACTGTGTAAATGGCGCTTTCTATACGATTTTTGTACTTTTATTTGTGGCGTAACCACAAATTACCTTTAAGTAACAGTGTAACAACGTAAGAGCGTTAAAAACTAGATTAGGTACAAAGCTTTGAAACCCCACTTTGCCACATTCAGATTAAAAGGAGTGACAAACAATCGTCCTTGGAAGCAGTTTAGGAGTTTCAGTTCTAAAGTACAGGAAATTTCCACAGGTAGATGAAAGCACAATAATTCGGGATACGCTGGAGGAATATGAAGGATGGTGTCCTCACAACATTAATCAGGCCCCCGTCGCTATGCCTTTCAATTGAATTTGGTTCAGTTCTGTAAGCCTCTGTAAGCGGTGACAATCTGTTACCGATCTTCAAGAACAGTTAATTGTCTCGCGATAGTCCAATTAAGTCCATATGTCAAGTTCAAGGTCGTTAAGCGCACTTTATTTTGATTTAGTTGCTAGAAATTACCCCAATGGGACAATAGTTCAGAAGTTCACCAATTTACTATCGAGACTCCATTGATCAGGCGTTCTGTCTCCCCTCCAAACATAGGACCGCTGATCGATGAAATGAGTTAATCATACGGACACAACGCTTTTCGCTTACACGTAGAACAAACTTTGTGTTTACTCTCCTCACTTTTTATCAGCAGGCTGTCACATCAACCTGGTTCCAGAAAATATGGAATTACACGGTGCTATATTAAGAAGTCTAGACTCCGTACATCCCACTCAGTGAGACTTCGATCTAAGTAGAAACTGTATGGCGCACACTAGCACAGACTTAGTTTCTTCACGAAGTATAGGTTTCGAGATACTCAGCCTTGGTTATCGCTAGCCACGCAGAAATGCCTTTATTTGATAGGAAACATGGACTTCCCGTAGCCATACCTTTTAGATCGCACATACTGTCATTAAACTACGAGTGAAATTTTCTAGTGTAGAGATGTTCGTATCCTGTTTTTTTTTATTAAATTGGCATCTGCCAATTGGACTGTAACCCCGAGGAGCCTAGCTGAGGAGCGACAGGATACCTAGCCGTGGTGGACATTGTCCTTGTCTATGCTCGTCACCCATGCGACCGACCAGTTGAAAACTTATTTTAAGCGTTTTGTTGCAAATCAGCTGGGGAAATAATCCTGCAAACCAGTTGTAGGTTATCTTTCTAACGTACGACTCATAAAGTTGCTGAAAATCCGTCGACAGCCCACGACCGGTTTCACCCTTTTTGGAGCTCGTCAGGTATGCGCACTTCCCGGGTTTCCGTCAACCTTATGTTCTGATTTGTTTACACTGAGTCGCTTTCGACTTCAGTTTTTGGCAACAGGAGTTGCTAAGCTGAGTGACTGAAAGGTCAGAGTGATGTCATTCACAAAATGTAACGCGTTTCAGCATCCATACCGTTTGATGTCGGCTAGAAATTTTTTTAGTAACTCTTGGAAGTTCGGATTCTCACAAACACTTCACATTCGATTATGACGGTAACGGCACGAAAGTGTCCGTTTGGTCCCCGTGGTTTGTGTATTTAGTTGCAAACCAGTACAAGACTAGGCTTCATCAGTAAACACCAAATGCAGTCGTAAAGTATTTCGGGGATAGAAAAGATCCTTCGTTCAAAGACTAAGATCTAACTGAATTCTGATATAACAGAAGTGGATTTCAGGCACCTGCGATGTAGTTTGTTCTACTTTAAACCAAATAGCACGAAATTAGCGAATATACACTCATTTGCAAACTAATTCGGTTTTTTCGAAAGACTCACCTAGAACCCAACTGAATCTCTCGTTTGTGATGTTTTCAGGTTAGGTTAGCTTATGTTGATGCTTAATTGGCCGGTATTTGGTCCAAGATAATCGCAGCTTTATGATTTTTGGGTAATCCTTGTGTCGTCTTGCGTCATTCCTCCTTCAAAGAAACCGCCAGTTTTCTACTACTTAATTTCCAAGAATCGGTCGATGTGGATTTGCCTCTAACCGCCCATGCAAAGTCTTCCGCGTTTATGCAATTCTTTGAACTCACCAACTCAGGATCTGATGCACAACATCAGATCATTTACATAAATCCCTGTCATCAGATTTTTGTTCTAGTTTGAGAATATTATTTTCTAAATTTGATTTCATGAGAATCTGGAGTGCCCTGTCACTGGGATCATTCAAATAATATGAACTATCAAAAATTATATTGGCTGCAATTACGTGGTCTGTCATTCATACAGCTAAAATGTGCAAAAATTAGCGAATATATACTCATTTGCAAACTAATTTGGTTTTTCGAGAAACTCACCTGGAACCCAGCTGAATCGCTCGTTTGTGATGAGTCTCTCGAAAAACAAAATTAGTTATCAAATGAGTGCTATTCTCATACAATTTGGTTTCAACTAGAACATAGGGTTGACGGAAAGTCGAGGACTGCGCCTACCTGATGAGCCTTAAAGAGGGCGAAACCGGTCGTGGGCTGTTGACGGATTTTCAGCAACCTTATGAGCAGTACATTACAAAGATATACATGTATCGCGATATCTCGAATATCGTAGCGACTGAAACATGAGGCGGCCTGGTGCAGCACATTCAGTTGCCTGAGAACATCACAAACTAAAGAGTCAGCTGAGTTCCAGGTGAGTCTCTCGAAAAAACCGAATTGGTTTGCAAGTGGGTGTATATTCGCTAATTTCGTGCAATTTGGTTTCAATTAGAACATAAGGTTGACGAAAACCCGGGGACTGCGCCTACCTGATGAGCCCCACAAAGGGCGAAACCGGTCATGGGATGTCGATGGATTTTCAGCAACTTTATGATTATTACACTACAAAAAATGTGTGAATATTCAATTCATCCTTGTCCTCCACGATTGTGTGGTGTAGAACCTCTCCTTCGAGCTGTCTTTCCAAGTTCAAAGGGTCTTCTTCTTAGTGAAGGTTCCCACTTCTCTTCTGCATAGGAAGGCCCCAATCACATTGTCCTTTGGCAGACGCGCTGTGTTTACTTCGAAGATCGTGAGTTCTACTGGGAGACACATAGTGAACTAACATTCCTCCAGCCGGTGTTACGAGAACATGAAGGGATTTACGCATGCCAAGCGAGTTCGTCCAACGACACTTTTGTCAACGAAACTACAGAGCTCCAGTTATTATGTAAGTTGCAATTGATGGGGTTCTACTCATCGCACATTTCGTTACCTGAATCACCCAAGACTAACAACTGATTTCATTTGCACAATGAATACGTCCGAAGAAGGGGACAGTGGTTTCCTTTTTCAAAAACTTTGGTCAAAGATATGATGAGGTAGCAAAGTTTAACTAATCTGTAACAGAAATTCTGCTTGAGTTACTAAAATGAATTTAGCGGTTAGTTGGTACGAGCCAAGAAGCTTGTCCGACATGTTATCGAGAACCTTAATGTGCAAAACTGCATGGAACCTGAGATGAGCAGAGTCGGAAAAATTAGTAACATTCGCGAAAGATCAGCTTTTAGCATCAAATACCACAGCAAACCTCAAATTAAAATTGTTTATGGATGTTCTCAGTACAAAATGAACGTGCGGTATCGATCTCCTAATCGCCCTGTACTATATTCAACCCATTAACTAATCGTACAGGATGTTTCGTACAAACACTGTCGTGAAATCAAATCAGTGAACTAAATGGTTACACGTTTGGTGCACAGTATGTCCCCGGTTTATTGGGTGTTCAAAATACTTTGTATGCAATCCATTGCAAGTCGTTTTTATGGTGGGTATCACCGGCAAAGTTCGATATGACAAGAAGTAATGGAGCCCGGCCCGGGCAGTACACGTCACTTGACTATTGGCCGCTTAAATCTCGAGAATGGTTCACAGTACCACGTGCTGTTTTGTAATGTTATGACCTGACTAAAAGCATATCGACCTCAACCGTAGCACGCTAATCAAACTGACATACTCAAGTTGGATAAATCGCCTGTGAAGATCCATAGACACACAGGATACAAAATTCATTTTGAACCATACATTAAGTGGCACGATTTGATTTGAATGGAACGCAGCCTGATTGGTCCACTACTTGGATCAGCTAGGGTTTGTGAACGGAAGTGCCACAACTTCGTTGATATAATATACATCTATAAGACTTGATACGGATCAACGAATTACGGTAACAACATAAGCAATTGAAAACATGGATGACGAGGTGTGGAAGCATATGATCAGCATCCAAAATCTACACATCGACTTCATTCTGATTCATGAACATTGTCGAAGCACGAGCGTTACCGAGAGTCACCATCTGTCGATCTGTTGAACAGCGCTGTGGAGGATAAATGCAAGTGTAGATTTGTTAGGGATTTCGTAGCACGAAGTATTTCAAATGGCGAGCAACGGAGCGCGCCTCACAACCGTAAATGCATCCAGAGATAGAAGCTCTTGATTCCACTCTGTACTTTACTTATCCCGTAGCTTTATAAACATATGCATAAGCACGTTCGCCATCTGCTACTTTCTACCGTTTCATAAGTGCCATTCGCTACCATCTTTCAAAACAGTATTGAAGTTTGTTGGGATGTGCAAGTATAGCAAATATAATCCATTAAGGTTGACATAAGCTAAAAAGTTAGCACTTCATGTCGTTAGTTACTATAAGATGGAAGCACTTTCAAGCTTGAATGCATCACTCTCTCCAAACAGATCCCCCACAGCTGATCTATTCACAACCGCTCAAATTTTCCATCAGACGGAAGCATGACTATTCGTTGCCATCCGCAGAGTATGTGACTGACTTGTTAAACGATCATGCAATCAACAGCCAAGGTCAATCATTTCAAGGCGTTCGCGAAAGTGCTCTGCCAGACATCAAACAAAACCTCTCGTGCTATCTCCGATCCAACCCGTTACCGTGGCGTGTTTTCTGGGAACGAGTGACTGACAGCACAAATTCCTTGTGTTCCAATAAACGGCCGCCCGTAACTGAACAGCACAAATTCCTTGTGTTCCAATAAACAACCGCCAGGAACTGGGAATTCCGTGTGCACCTGCATGAATGGGACGCCACTTGCTGCCTTAGACAGCACGACGGTCAGTCCCATGGTTCAGAATATTTCGGTCGCTCTTCTTACAGGACAAGCGGCTGCAGAACATCTTGCTTCCAAAGCTGGCTTTCGTCTACCGGACTACACAGAATCTTTGGTTGTGACCCTTCTGTCTTATACTCCACCAAGTACACCGGAACTAGGTCTGTATGCGGCCCACGTGGAGAATACTCAAGGTTGCACTACATGCTACCTTCGAGTGCAAAATTACTGTGAGTGGTCTTCCATGTTTACCTGTCTGTTCAGAATTACATGGCGATCCACCTAAGGTTATCTTGTACTTACAAAGTCTATGCCGGTGAGACAAGTTAGGATGACTTAAACGTCCGACTTTGTCATTTCTGTTGAATTGTGCTGTTTGGGGAGATGATGTTTCCCCATTTTTTCGTAATCAAGGAGCTCATCCACACTCATTTGCAAATCCCTTTGGGTTCAAGTAAATCATAAGGTTGACGGAAACTCGGGGATTGCGCCTACCTGATGAGCCCCAAGAAGGACGAAACCGGTCGTGGGTTGTCGAAGGGTTTTCAGCAACCTTCTGAGTAGTTTCCTTTATGAAAATATATTGCGATCTCTCGAATATCGTGCAAACCGAAACATGAGGTGGCCGGTGTGCAGCGCATTGAGTTGTCGAATATCATAAACGAGAGATTCAGTTGTGTCGCTGGTGAAAACCGACTTGATTTGCAAATGAATGTATTTCTCGCAAACAGTTCAATTTGGGTCCAATTAGAACATAAGGTTGACAGAAACTCGGGGACCGCGCCTACCTGATGAGCCCCAAGAAGGACGAAACCGGTCGTGGGTTGTCGAAGGGTTTTCAGCAACCTTGTGAGTAGTTACCTTGATGAAAGTATGCAGCTTATCCACTTGCTTGTAAACCAAAATTGTCCAGGAGCCAAATGATAGATTCTTGACGCGCAATCAAATCAAATTGGTTTTCAACAGAAATATGGAAGTGGAAACGCCGGGTAGTTTGAACATTCGCAAGGAGTTCGCCGAAAACTAAAGACTCGAATACACATTACGGCTTATACGCTATGTACATTTGACCTTAGATTCAATCTCGCAACTCCAGTCAACCTGTCGTGGCAGGAGAAACAATGTGAGTCAAGTTGTTTCCCGAAAATCTACAACATTCCAGTGGGTTCACCAGAACCTATTGGGAGAATGATACCTGGGTGGCGGAAGCAGTTCATCTAGATGCTTGTATCAAATAATAAATATTGGGTATTAAGGACATGTATTTTATGTACAAATCAAATGAATTCTGATTGAATCATCCAGTCGAATGACGATCATCATTTGATCTGCTTTTGTCTGAACAGTACACCAAAACCGCTAACGTCCCTGCACACTCGTTTAGGCATGGCACCGATAAATCCTCATAACTACACACTATACAAATTCACAACTTCCAGCAACTTCCTATAGGGTGCAAAGTACACCGATATTTCGTTTTTCGGCGTTTCCGTGTTAAACAGCGGAGCAACAACTTGTGTCACCTTCCAATTACTGAGTACTATTGACGGCTACGAGTCTTTGAGCGCTCTGTACAAGGCTGGGTGAATGCGGAACGTTCGGTGTATTTGACTGATGAGTGACTGACACAAATGTACTCTGGATAATTGTTCATTCTACTTCATACTTATCTGGAACACCATTTGTTTAAACAACAGATAGACTAATTAGACACAAGTGCTCTCTAGGTCGGAACACAATGCTGGACAATAATGTTGTCAAGAGGAAGTGGGATAGCCCAACAGTGATTCATTAGCTTGAACAATGCGCTAAAATTGACCTTGAAATCGGACCTAGTGGGATCCTACAAGCGTGTTTTCTGACATTCTGGCGATCTTCTTGAAGGACGTGATAAGTACTATGTCTAAGAGGTTCGGTTTGAACCGAATACAACCTGCATTTATAGAACATCCTTACTTTAGTTTGACGATGCGCTACAGTCGTTCACTAGGCGAGATGGCTCAGGAGTTAGAGAGCGATTTCAGTCACCGGAAGGTCTGTGGTCCGAACACGACATCTGTTTTACTATTTTCATGTCTAGGCTTGGGCAACCTGGCAGTAGCCCAACCCTCGTGCTTTCTACGGGTGGCATTGTAACTAGGCTTCCAAAATGAGTCATCACAGCTGAACAGCTGTTCACAACTGCACTACAATTCCTCATGTCGTTTTCCAGGTTTTCAACAGAGTCGTTAGAGGTCCTTTTCGCCATACGTTCGACATCTTTTACCAAATGTATTTGATTTATGCTTTTAATATAATCATTATTGATANTGCTATTAATCTAATCATTATTGATACTAGCTTAAATTCTCCAGGACCAGAACATATTAGTGATAGGAATGTCCTGGTCTATAGGATGACAGATTGTGATCAAGGCTAGATTACAAACATTCGTGCTGCGCACAAACTGCCGGTGGATGTTCGCGCCGGGTGTACTTTCCGCACAAAGTGGTTGTGTGCTTAGCGAATATACACTGGTTTGCAAACCGTTTTGGTTTTTCGAGAGACTCACCTGGAACCCAGCCGAATCCCTCGTTTGTGATGTTTCCTGCCAACTGAATGTGCTGCACCAGGCCGCCTCAGTCGCTACGATATTCGAGATATCGCGATACATTTACAAAAAGGGCGAAAGCGGTCGTGGGCTGTCGACGAATTTTCAGCAACCCTATGAGTAGCACATTTCAAATATATACATGTATCGCGATATCTCGAATATCGTAGCAACTGGAAAATGAGGCGGCCTGGTGCAGCACATTCAGTTGGCAGGAAACATCACAAACGAGGGATTCGGCTGGGTTCCAGGTGAGTCTCTCGAAAAACCAAATTAGTTTGCAAATGCCTGCATATTCGTTAATTCTGTGTGATTTGGTTTCAAGTGGAACATAAGGTTGACGGAAACTCGGGGACTGCGCCTATCTGATGAGCCCCAAGGAGGGCGAAACCGGTCGTGGACTGTCGTTGGGTTTTCAGCAACCTTATGAGTAGTACATTACAAATATATGGATGTATTCTTCTTTCCTGGGAATCATCCACATTGCGCTTGGTAGCTTTTGAAACATGGGAAAATGGCGCAGTCTTCTAGAGAGTATTCAGTCAAGGATTCTACGATTCCGACGTGTGTCGATGGTAATCGAAAAGTTGGTGAAAACCTGTTGCTGAATGACGTAATTACACGCTTCACATAACAGGCATTCTGCATCCACGAACAGAAAACACTAACTTCTAAATCATATCGCTCAAGTGTAAACACATTCGCCTGTTCAGACGTGATAAGTCAGATGCGTCCAACGTACGTTAGTGGAGTAGTGGTTACACGCTCGCCTAGCATGTTAGATGTCCGGGGTTCAAATCTTGGCACAGTCATCGGATATGCACTGCTGATAAGCTCTAATAAGAGTTAAGCTCGAGTCCAGTGCTCTCCTTTGGTTTGGACTCACCGGAGTAATTACGCCAGAACATGAACACGGCCATTCAAACGAGAGTGGCGTGGCTATGAACATAAATTCGTTTAGTAAGTACACTGGCCAACAAACTGACATACTCAGACTGACATTGAGCATCTCTCCCTATTGAGACGTTGAAATTGTTCAACATGCGCAACTGAAACACCACGTAGGAGGTTTCACTTCAGCGTAGCCAACGAAGTCGCTCTTTCCTTAGTTCTAGGAAGAGTGAAACTCTGACCTACCCGTCTCTAAGCTATGAGACAAACAACCACAAAACAGTTCAAAAAAGGAAAGGAGTGTAATACAGATGAGAGTAATACGTATGCAGATTTATAGTATTCATCATCTTTGTTCAACTAATACAGCGGTAAACCACCGTGGCTCTATCACTTCAACCTTAATTTTTGCGTGGTTCTGGCATTTCTCCTCGAGAGTTTGGACATTGGCTATAATCGAAGGTAAAACCCGCTTAGTTGATGGGCCACTATACGTGTTATTTACGGAGTCGATCTCGGCACAAACTACTCAGCGGATCAACAGTTGTAAACAGTGTGTTTTCGCACATTTGTATGAAGAATTTCTCGCAGTTCAACAGTTCAAATGTGATCCTGTTGCAGCCTAAAGCAATTCAAATTTAAAAAAAAACAAGTGGGAGAAGTAAAAGAGGATGTCATGAGGGGGTAAAATTCAACTCGGTTGAAGTTTTTAGCTAGATTATCATAAAAATACCCCTACACCACAAGCTATATTACACGCCTCCTTATGATTAGCAATTACTCATCATATGCCATGTAGTACATGGCATAGGATATATGTAGAAGGCTCTTAATCAAGGAACGCTTTGCGGAACATGTGTATCTTTCCACACCTAGCCGTTCCAGAAGCTCCTTCGTCGGTGCACCTGATAAACATCACAGATGATCGCATACTACTGTCTTGGATCGCAGGCTATCATGGTGGCTATTCGCAAAAGCTTATGGTTCGATCGATCAAAGACCAGGATCCCCATTCACAAAGTGGAGGAAGGACAGTCGTAATTCCAGATGTACCCTCTTTTCCAGAGCGACAACAATGCTGGTTCACAGGTACGTTATCGTTCGTCTGGCACTGTATCTCCATAGTTCCGATTGTTCTTGATTGTGTAGTCCATACTGAAAACGTTTCCTCTCACCACAACGGATTTTTTGTTGTGTTGGAAGGCTGGCCTGCGTTGTTTTAAACGAATTTGGGGTTGAACCGCAAAACGCGGTACTGTCAAACGGTGAATACGTTCTAGGAAAAATATCGTTCGTTTACATCAACCGTTTCCGAGATGCTGGGGGCAACATTAAAAAAGTCTTTCTATGAGACAAGATGAACTCACAAAGTAAACTCATCCACTTTTAGACTGGTTAGCTCGCTTGAATAATAAAAATAACCATTCTGTAGCTTTCCTGCTGGTAGTTTATAAACGAGTCTTCCTCGTTTTTGGTGCCCGTTCTGCATTTGCAGGCTGGTCAGACGGATTCTGTAAAATGTGTCACTCAGCGTCTACTACCAGATTATCAGTCCACATTTGGAAATGTTTAAATAGGACATCAGTGTCGTGCTGCATGCTGGAATGAGAGTAGGTTTGTCGAGCAGCCCGTTGTAGTTTTTGTCTGGAGCTGGAGTGGAAACATGTACGGCTTACGGACGCGACGCCCTTGCAAATTGTTGCGGAACTCGGCTATTAACCAGAATTCTCCGTGCTCCAGGATTTCTTTCAACAGCTGGACAACCATTCAGCATAGTTGAGTTCAACACTCGGGCAGCAGAGATAACAGCTGTGTCAGTGAACATTTGTGTGCCGGCTGTTGAGATTTCCGACACGGAACTTTGAGTAACGCGTAGGTTCGACAGTCCCGAATATCAAAAGGAAGAATTGGGTTCGTAATTCTACGATACGGTATACATAGGGTCAAGCAAATGTGTACAACAAACCTCAGTTGTTCACGTTCGTAGCGTCAACAAGTTCACAGGCCTGTCACTGACCGGCACAGTGCAGTGTCAACGTCCGCACACCAAACAACGGCGAGCGAAATGATGGCTCAGCAGCGTGGGTTGCCGTCGTCCCTTCCCATGAGGGTTTCGTGATTCTCATTGGAAGTGCGATGACAAGGAACTGATGGGAAAACAAGTCAAGGCAGGCTCAGCAAACGGGACATGAACGCACATGGGTAAGTAGGTCAGCAGCGCACATTCACACACAGACACCCATGCCAATACACAAATGTCGGAACGGACGGCCTCTGCGGGTACGAATAAGCAAAACAACCGGAGATCAAAAGTACTTAGACGGAGTAAGCGAATGAATGGGGGAATTATCAAAAGGTCAGGTTAGATTCAACACCGGCTCACCCGCGAAAGCTGCGATGTGGAAGAAAATACTAATCAGAAATATTGTATTTCCGATTGCTCCCATACTTTGAAGTCACCACGGCATCTTCTATCGCTGAGCCAATCAAAGACCCCCAAGGAGCCAAAATTCCGTTTCATACTTCATAGGCTTCACCTACTGTTCAAATGAAGGACATGTTTCCCTGGAGACTACAGCAATCTGTCCACCTCAAAGACTGTGCTAAGGAATCCCGCAATGTCCTATTTAAACCAAGTTGGAACAAACAACCAAATTTGAGTGTGCTGCTCCCAAAATCGAACCAAGGTCTCAAACCAATATCAGCAAGAAGGCGAGACAGCGTTGCTTCATGATTATATCCGGTTTTTACCCGAATAAGCGGTGACTTTTGTCATCCTAAAACACTGTTTCCTCGCAGCCATCTAATCAGATTGAGGGTTGCATGTTGTTCGAAATGCGTTGAAAACCATCTGTGAGTGAAGAGAATTTCCGCGGTAAATATGGTCCAACTTTCTGTTCACAATTCTTGATTTGAAAGAGTATACAAAACTTTCTCTACAAAAGTAAGCAGGAATTTTTGTTCATAGTCACACCACTCTCTTTTGATCGGTCGTGTTCCTTTTCTGGCGTAATTATTCCGGTGAGTCCACACCAAACGGGGGAAGCACTGGACTCAAGTTTCGCTCTTATTAGAGCTCATCGGCAGTACATATCCAACGGCCGTGCCGGGATTCGAACCCCGGACTAGAGTTATGAACGTTGAGTAATCCGACAAACATTCAAGTTCCATGGAGACGCGGTGTTATTGGACTCCAGTGAACAGGTGAAACTCATTTCGACTGTTTGTATAAGTGACATCTTTAATTCTAGAGAAAGATACATTGCATGCCTTCGAGTGTGAGAGCAGAAGGACCAAAGTTTCATTATACAGGATGGATTCAAGTGCATCACCATTCTAATATTGCTGCACTAGACTGAGAGTGCCGGAACATCCTCTGCAAGAGACAAACTCTCCAAAAGCCTGCAGTTGAACCTCTTCCATACTTCACTCTCCTCAGCGCTACATATCTCCTTGGACACACTACCGGTGGGTTTTTTCGCCTTGGTGTATGCTGATTTGAAAATCTTCGGTGATGGAAAAAGGGGACCACTGCATTACCAATGCGAACAGCGGATCCTAAGAGGTTGCATTGAATTTTATCCGTGCAGATATGCGATATATTTAATACCTAACCTGGATATTTATGTTTAGACATTGAGCATTCTTGTATGGACAAAGCACGGAAACCACAATGCAGGATAGCTAGTACTATTGGCCTGGTCTGTAGAGAACAAATTTCGATCGCATCGCTTTACATCGAACTAAATGCTGAGAATAGCAAATTTACACTGGTATTAAGGAGATTCCTCGTTCGTCAGCAATGCCAATAAATCTTTCAGTGTTCACAACACACAGCTGCGGACAGGGTCGCGTGCGCACCGTCAGGATTCCTCAAAGAGGAATGCAGATGAATGAATGCGAGTACCAAATTCAGTTCAAAATAAACATGACAAAGGGCTACATAAGTACAACAACCAATGTACCTATACACACTTAGATGTTCTCCTTCTATGCCTGTTAGAATTTAAAATAAGCCATTTGGGGTGATGAGGCTTGAAATGATCAGTATAAGCACACCCCCGTCTATACCAATGCACGGATGAAAGCCTTTCGCGGCGAAGTCGTTCATTAGCAAACACCAAACGATTACAAACGATTTGATGAGCAAGTAAAATCTCATGTGTGCCTTATTTTAAAAAAAAAACTGAACATCTTTACATCTTTACGTAACAAACCTCATGGGTGCACCTTCCATTAAACGTGTAGAGAAAACTACATGCTACTCGCTTGCCTCATCAGTAGTAGTCCGAAACAATTCCCGCAGAATCACGTAATTTGCAGCATGAATGCATTTAGGTAAATTTGAACTGATATAGTTAGGAGATAGATAATTGGGGCTTTTTGACCTTTGTCCAGGACTGAGTGACTTCTCTTCAAACTTCCACAGGATTGCGGCCAGGAAGCACCTACTATCTTACTCTTTACGGTGAGAATAAACTTGGTGCTGGGCCATCTTCCGAGGTGATCAAGGTCAAAACAATGGGTAAGCCGAGCGTGTTTGTCTACCTAGACTTCCAAGCTATTCCTTCCCAAAAGTATCTGTTTTTTATCTTACGAAACTGACCTTAATTTTATGAAGAAAACAGAGTCCTTAGTCTCGGATACGGGATAAGACACTGTAAGACGTTCGTTTGTTCAATAAGAACTCGCGACTTGTTTCGATACTCAAAAGACCACCTATCATCAGCTGTCATTATTTCGATGTGACGTGAGTTCTACAGGCTGTGTTTAGAAGAGGCTCTGTTAACAAGGGAAATGTTTGAAAAAATCAACAAGAATTTGCAACATTTTTGAGAGTAGGTAGGCGCACTGGTGCCAGAGTGTAAATAAGGCAGCCACTGCGATTACCAGGTTGCAAGGGGATCAGAGGCGCTTACAACTGTGCATACTCTGCATGAGGCGCCGAATTTTGTGTGAAGCAGTGTGATTCCGTAAGGATGTTTATTGATTATGTGCCGCGAATTACATGGTACACATTATTTATATATTATTTTCATATATATATATTCATATATTGCTGCTCAAACTGTATTTTACTTAAGCCCGGAAATATTTGAAACAGGTTGTTATTAATTTCAGTTTCACGTTTTGATATCATATCCCATTTGCACTGGTTCAACAAACTGACGAATAACTCTGCATAATTTAACGCCTTACGAACAACTGTAAGCACGAGAAAATTTGACCGTTCTGCCGGAAAATTTCACTCCGTACCCCTAAGATCATCTGAGTCTCTGGAATCAAAACACATTTTCTTTTCTCCTAAATACCGGACTGTTATGCTACTCTCCACATGGTAAGAGCAGCGTTTGGTAAACTTTTATTTTTAATAATACGTCCACCTCAGATTTACAGTTCCCAAAAATTATCGGATACGAACTCAACTCGGACAGGATTGAGCTGCAATTCCAAGATGACACGACTCTACCCAACAGTTTTTGTATTCAAGTGGAGGAAATCCGCACTTCGTCATTTGCCTCGCCTTCTCTGATCTATGACACCTGTCCGAAAGTTTCTATCACAACTGCTAGCAGTGAGCTGTTCGCGATTGAATACTGTGAAAACGGATTGTCAATGACAAACGGTCACGCTACAAACCGAAGTAATGTAATGCTTGGTAGCTCGGCAGTTAGCGACCCAACCCAGGCTATGCCAGACCATCGACTGGATATCGTACTCAACGCGTCAACAGCGAATTCTGATGGGACTGTTCTGATACCGGTAGAAGGCAACCAGGGTAAGAATTGGCCTGTTGAACTGTGTTGATGATCAATTCACTGAAAAATAGGCTGTATTTTACGGTAAGATGAAGCGGTATTATCCTAGTAACAGAACAGTGATTCCCACATGCACCATTGATTCTCACAGACATTACTCGGACGCAGCCTATGCAAGGCAGATACTTCTGAGAATACCAAACTTCATATTGCTGATGACTGAGCAGTTTTAACATTTACAATTGAGGTCTATACAGCGGTGCAGCTATCCGCAAAACAAGTATCCGAGTTCCAACGGACTACAGCTGTTTAAATGGCGTAAAGTATGTTGGGAATTCCGGCGGAATTCCTTGTTCTACTACACATGAACCAACGTGAGTTGTGTTCACTAATCCAGAGGTCAAATAAATCGGAAGTGGTGGTTTTATTGGCTAGTTTGATTGCTTCATTGTCCTAGAGGAAAAGAAGCTTCAAAGATCGGCTTTACCTGGCAACTCTATGTTTGCGTCACGCCTGGCAGATACCTCTACATATCCATTTGAAATTTTCATTCTATTTATCAGCGTAGACCATAAAGTCAGCGGTTATAATATCTGTTTTGTTCCCTCTCTGTGTGGCAGTCTCAAATTTGTTTGATTCAGTGACGTTCAGTCAACCAATTTCACCAGGTAGGTGGAAGAATTTGAGAATCGAGCTTTTCAGCTCAGAATTATTTACTCCAAGTTTTATCCACATAAATCTTTCGTCCAGCAACGATCGTCCCTGAACTTCAAATGTACAGGCATATAATCCCTCAAGACTAAAGAATTAGTCCCTATGAGGCCAACTACTTCCCTCGCCCTAATGACTGCATGTGTCGTTTGAGCATGCTCTTCCGAAAGACGCCAAAATAGCACTGTAAACTGAATAACATATGACACTATTTACAGCAATATTTATAGACTGGCTACAAGCAGTGGCCAAATATGAAACCGTCGCTTAACCTGTATCTTGAGGCCTACAAAAGATCTTAAATGTGGAAAACCGTTGGTAGGCTTACATGGGGCAGCGCATTAGGCGGCTGTGAATGGTACAACTGTCTGCGTTTAGATCGATTTCGAGTCGGTGGCTGTAAGATTGATTATTTCGGTAGTGATACTTCCAGAGCTACTGACTTCCGTTCTGAATTATCATCAGGGACTTTGAAAAATGAGGAAAAATATCTACCCTCCAACTCTTCCTTCAGTTGAATCTAAGAAAGCCATTTTAAGAATCGAAAAGTAAACAAAATTCCCTCTGTCAGGTCTTGTTTCATATTCCGACAATTGTTAATCCTTTCGGTTATTATTATTATTATTATTATTATTATTATTATTATTATTATTATTATTATTATTATTATTATTATTATTATTATTATTATTATTATTATTATTATTATTATTATTATTATTATTATTATTATTATTATTATTATTATTATTATTATTATTATTATTATTATTATTATTATTATTATTATTATTATTATTATTATTATCATTAATCCTTTCAGTCTTCATTTTCGCTATGTTGTGCAAGTGTGTTGGTTTTCCGTGATTACAGGTGCAATATCGAATGAGGAGAGCACCGATATTCCCACTGTGCTCAAATATCGGCTGCGCTTTTGCTATGTGAAAGCCCCGCATGAATGCTCGGACTACGTTAGTTTAAACAAGGGTAAGTGTGGTATTGTTTGGTAAACTACTTGTACTTGTGCCACACACACAGTTTGTGCGTTCGTTTTATACCGTCCCTTAAAAATCGTGTCAACTAAGGCTTGTAGTTTCCATCGCACTGAATATATGCCTCGGTAAATGTTAAACTTGAACGTAAAATGCGTCAGCATCAATCGCATTAAAGTGTCTGTCTCTGATCAGTCTGATTCTAACCACTAGGGACATTCGAGTCCACAGTGACACTAGTATACCCACGAGGTATTCCGCCGATCTAAAACGGATTTCATTTGACGTCATTCAGTTAATAGGAAGTTGCTCAATTACTATAAAAATGATTTGGAACGCAAACGTCAGACAAAAATTTGCCTAATGAACCTACGTGAGACGTGAGTGCAGATCATTTTGAGTTTTTTTGCTAAACTGATGTTCACAACGATCCCGGAGCGGCCGGGATGGTCGTTCCCAGCATTTATCTTCACTTGAATAAGGAAGACAGACAGAAGCTGTATCGGAAATTAATCATATCTGGAATATGGTAGGCTGGGAAAGCCGAATTTATTATTGCCTTGCCTCTGGTTGATAGGCAATATTCGAACTGTCCCATAATAAACGCAAAAAATAATACCAATGTTAAAACTTTAACATTAATATCAACATTTATTATTCTTTACGTGGACATAGAAGCATTATGGAGGTTTATTGAAAACAAACTGGCATTACAAAAGACTTCGAAAACACCACCCCTCTCTTGTACAGCAAGTTGGATCCAGTATGAGATGTGAGACAACATGTTTAACTTCTTCAGGCGTCCCTCGTGCACACTCCTCTTCAATTATTGCTCTTAACTCCAGCAAGTTCTTCGGTTTCTTTTCATGATGTACGTGAGCTTTGATCATTCCCCAAAACCAACAATCCAGAGGTGTGAGATCGGGTGATCTTGCGGGCCACAAGTTTGAAAATCCACAAGCAATGACTCTCTCATCAGAAAATCGATCTCGGAGGTAATTTCTCACTTGGTTTGAGTAGTGCAGCGGAGCGCCAGTTTGTTGAAAGACGGTTGATGACTTCTTGTGCTGCTCGAGTTGCGAGATAACATGCATCTGCAGCATATGGAGGTAACTGTCGCCGGAAACCGTAGGAGACACTTTGAGGAGAATCCCATCTACACACAGAGATGACGGGAATGGAGATTATGGGTGAGATACTAGTGAGGAGCTTCCCGGGACCATATCACGCAACTGTGCTTGTTGATTATGCCATCCACAGCAAAGTTTGACACGTTGCTCCTTGTCTTCTTCCGGGATGCTTTGTAATAAAGTGAAGTGGTGCGGGTAGAGATGAAGGTGGTGTCTCATAATACGATGCACGCTGCCGCGAGAAATGCCGGTCAACTGAGACAACTGAGTTATTGACGAAGATGCCATGGTACTCTGGGACTGAAATTGGTCGACGGCATTCTGTACAATGGGCACCCTTTCATCACTCAGAAACTTTCTTCCTTTGCTAGGAAAATCCAATACAGATCCAGTGGACTCGAATTTCGCAATCAAGCGTGTAATGGGCGACACAGTGAAAGGATCTTTGATGAGACCATGTTTGGTTTTATAAGCACGAAGTGCAACGGTGGCGCTTTCACCAAGGGAAGAATGGAGTTTCACAATTTAAATGTACGTACTGAAATCCATCGTTGAAAAAAATGTTAACGCTTGTACGCAAAATCTCCTTAATGTGGCTACCAATAATAAAAAATTTCTTTACCTTTTCTTTAATTTTACTTACCCAATCTAATTTTGCGTCTATTATGAGACACCCTGTACTTTTAGTAATGACCCTTTGTATGCGATGCTAACTCGTCGGCTAAACCCAATCCAGATCAGCAACGATTGGCATATCAACTATTTGAATTCAGGTCAATGAGCATTTTTACTGCAGCGTTTTGTCCCTAGGAGTTATTCAACAACCTATGTAACTCCTTGAAGTTTCGTTCCGTCAAGCACAGATGTCACGGATAAGTGTCATGCCTCCGTAAAGATACCCCCAAAACAGTGCATCTCATCAGAGCCTATCCTAGTGCACCAAAAAATAACACGATCCATTATTCCACGCGGTTCTAGTCGATCATAATTTTGTAATTTCCCGTTTTACCAAGCCGTTTTGGAATTCTGTGAGCTATCAGTTTGAAAACACAAAGTCCATCTCACCCCGCATCTCTTATCCACAGCGTTTTAACTTGTAGCGCATGGCGCTCATTATCAGAGTAGCATCACCGCCAGGCGGAGTTAAAATATCTTTTAGAATTAGTTGTGATAGTGGAGAGTAAAAGAATTTGAACTAAAAACTGCTTTGTCCCATCACAGTCGAACCGATATCGAGTGAATATTTGTGGATTTGCTACTGTCGTTGATGGCCGGATTATTTTCTAAATTCTCTGGTCACTATGCTGTAATGCAAACAATTTCACATCTACTGAGATTGGGACACTCCCACAAGTGTACTTGACATGAAGTGTCGTACTTTCAACAGGTTCTTTGCCTGGGATAATTACTGGAGATAACATGCAACAGTGAGTGCAGAGCTTTTGTTTAACCCAACGTTTCAGCCACTGTTAGTTACTGTCACTGAGAGAGAGAGAGAGAGAGAATCCGAACCATAAACGATATTTGTGGAGACATTTATGTAAATATATATAAATACAGTACTCATTAGTAGTACATGATATACGCTGTTTTTTGACGTAATATAATGGAGGTGTAAAACTAAACAGCCAGCAGACCAGCGCAGCTTAACTGAAGAGAAGTCATGATCGCTGCACATCTCCACTTTTCAGAATCCAGTCCTACAAGCTCAAAGTTTCCCATCCTATGGATTTGCCTCAATGCAACCGTTTTTCCTGCCGTTGGACTGCTGATTGTTTGTCTCTGGCATGCTCACAGAAGACGCCAAACTGCTGGCAATCAAGTATGGATCTCGAGAAAATCAGATCCGTTAATTAAGCATCGGGTGCAAATACGGAAGTTTAACAAACCTCACTCTGATGATGATCTCCGCAAAAGGTTAGTCATTCGACTTTCAACCTCGTCCGAAACTTCATTACGTGCACAATTCTTTATCCGCTTTGTTCCTCTGCAACTGAGGAGCCACTGAGTTCCCGTACGGCGGATTTCATCGTTGGGTGAATTGGTAACTTGTCGAGACTACTGCCGAAAGAGGTTGAGGAATATTAGCAACCTTGAATCCGTTATACAAAGTGAGGACAAGATGTGCAAAATTTGTCTGTTTAACTGTAAGAACCCAGGAGGAGTAAAACCCAGGTTTTTATCTGCACATCGGTGGTATTTTCAGCGGAAATTTTGGACACAAATATTCACAAGAAAATCACAAAAAAATCAAAAAGATGGAAGCCAGGGGGTTATCAGTCTAGATTTTACGGTTACTATTTGGTACGTTTGAGGTAATACAAATTGTAGTGACTGGTCAAGGACTCCTCAGAGCCTCATGAGACCAGGTGAATTTAATTTCCACCACAGACGTCTATTGCAGACGAATCGTGTTTGCCAATTCCCTGGTATCAACTAGAACTTCCTAACATGTATACACATACATATATGTATACACATATGTATATATGTATGCAGTACACCTCACTAAAAGAGTAGCATTTGAATACAGCGCCGCTATCTGCTTGGCAACAATGCTTTTTCATCAATGACGTTCTTCAGGTGATATCAGTCTTTTTTGGGAGGACCAGAGGCGCAAATTAACCTTAAGCTGTGAATGACGAACAACCGCACACCAGTTTTGAGACGACGGAAAGGGTTGTAGACTGCTTGGTGCAGTTTAGCGGAAATCGCAAACACACCAGGCTTCAGAGAGTAATGACAATGTGGTGAAACAATAAGTTTTCACGAAAAACTGGTTGATCACATACAGACTTCAACCGCAGAAGGGACCGGCTCATAAACAACCACCTGTGGACAAACGGTTGAAGGCAACCATAAGTTCAAACCAGTAGTTTTCTGGAAGATGGATTGCGTTGATTTATACCAAAAAAGACAAGGTCTGACTGTTTTTTTGTTGATTAAACAAATCAGGGTAAAACACTATGTTTTCGGAACACAATGCCTGTAGCTAAGCTGATGAATCCAACCGAGTGTATGTTCGCTAATTTCGTGCAATTTGGTTTCAAGTAGAACATGAGGTTGACGGAAACTCGGGGACTGCGCCTACCTGATGAGCCCCAAGAAGGGCGAAACCGGTAGTGGGCTGTCGACGGATTTTCAGCAACCTTATGAGTAGTACATTTCAAATATATACATGTATCGCGATATCTCGAATATCGTAGCGACTGAAACATGAGGCGGCCTGGTGCAGCACATTCAGTTGCCTGAGAACATCACGAACGAGAGATTCAGCTGGGTTCCAGGTGAGTCTCTCGAAAAAACACCGAATTAGTTTGCAAATGAATGTATATTCGAAATTAGTTTTACTTTTGTCTGATCACCGCAAACAGTGTCCTGCCTTCCGTCTTCTAGAAACACAAACTCTGCTGATGTGGAAATAGTCCAGGCGGTGGTTGCTTGAACTAGTGCCACTGTTATTTTCCTCCATAGCAAGGGGATATTGACTTCTACGTGTTAACTTTGGTTGCATTTCATCAGCGCTGTTCTATTATAACAATGGTATATAGGATTGAAAGGGACAAAGCTGTGTATGTAACGGATTGACAGATTGCTCTATTCTCAATCAAGTTGATTGTGCATAATGGTCTAGTGTGCATTAGTGATTGACTGAATCGATTTCGATGAGTGTTTTGAGCCACAACCTAAGGTCAAACGAGTGTCCAGTGGCTCAGACATAAACTACGAACAATGTGCTCGGGTTCCTGTAGACTACAAGGTTACCTGTCTCAGACAGAGAACCCGTTTTTTCTAAGACAGTTCACACAACTTCCGGTCTGTTCTGTTCTAGCAGTGAATCAATTGAATTACAGCATACAAGGGACAGTCATCAGACCGCTTTGCCTCGCCGTTCAGAAGACTAACTGGATGGATTGCAAAAACCTCCGGGTTTAGTCTATAATGGTGAACCAACTTAGCTGCTGGGTTGATGCCGCGGCGTTATGATGTTTTAATTATAGGTTAGCTATCGGTTTTCCTGAAACGCTTGAAGTATAAATCAGTACTGCTGATAAGGTGGATGTGAAGTCGATCTTTACGCAAATTATAGATAAAATCAATAGGGTACAAGCTTATCACGAGGAAACCGGGTTTTTATCGTACTGATATCATGGCGTTTTGGCATCACAGCTTGGTGTTTTCAAAGGCCTATTGAATGGCGATTCTACAAAAGGGTTTTACAATTCTTCGTGTTGGCGTTTCTACCTAGTTAGTGAAAAAATCCAACTCAGGAGAGTTAGCTGTTGGGGCCCACTGAAGAATAACTAACCGCAGCATTTTCAGTCGTTTGGAGGGTTTCTCAGGGAAACTTCTGTGGAATTCACTCAGTGTTTCTGTAAGTACTTCCGTCCATCCTTGAGTTCACATGTGATCTTGCGGCTCACCGGTTTACTATTCACAATATCCTGATAAGTTACAGTTAACCTGTATCAAGCGCCCTTTTGTTATCTGGACCGCCACATGAAGCGTACGTTTAGTGAAGTGCTTACGAATCACTCCATCTCCTAAAGTAGTTTGCGTGACAAGTTTCTCAACAGTACTATGACCAAAACAACTGTACTTCATTGAAGATGCTATCAGAAAAAACATAAAAACAAAACCAAAAAGGACTATCGCCTCGTCCATCTTTGCACCAATAATCAACAGTGCTTGACTCAAAAGCTTCTGCAACGATAAGGACTGGTTTTTAGCTGGGTTGCTCAAAACCAATCAGTAAATGCAGGAACACGTGACTTCAGCCACATGAACGAAGGGTGGTGGCGCCAAAACGTACTTGGTGAACTTCACTCACTATACTATCTAGCCAAATGATACACAGCTCATTTACAAAGAAATAATGTTGTGAGCTTAAACTGCCTCAGATTTTTGTGAGATACTGCGCTGAAGATTCTGAAGATAAAAACCCACTCTGTGTTTTACGGCTGTACACTCGTGGGAAAGCCTAAAATTTGGGAGCGAACACTGGTTGCAAACGGAAAATATTCTCGGCAAATACAAACCAAGAGCGTGAATCGATCGTCACAACCAGGACAGTTACTGGGTCGTCGTTCGATGAGTCGGGCACACCAATCACATCGCTCAAGTGTGAACACGTTCGCCTGTTCAGACGTGATAATTCAGATGCGTCCAACGTGTGTTGGTGGAGTAGTGGTTATACGCTTGCCTCGCATGTCAGATGTCCGGGGTTCAAATCCCCGAACGATCATTGATGATGATGAGCTCTAATAATGATGAGCTCTAATAAGAGTGAAACTCGAGTCCAGTACTTCCCTTTGGTGTGGACTCACCGGAATAATTACGCCAGAACAGGAATACGGCCATTCAAACGAGAGTGGTGTGACTATGAACAAAATACCTATCCCGCAGAACCCCAAAATACAAACCTGTGAGTAGATCATATGTTGATTGAGTTGCGATCAAAAACGGTTTTTTCGTCTGTGGACATAAAAAAGGAATACACACAGGAGATGGAATTACGAGATATGAATGCAGGTATAGAATACATCCGTAACACTTAGTTTTAACAAAAGCTTTCAGTGAAGCGTGACCATAAAGAACTGTTACGCTCTATATTAAAAATGTATAAACAATCATCCTCGTGAGGTCTAAGATAACTGAAAATCATACATTTAATCTCCACCTTCATATGTTTATCTCCTGTGAAAATTGTCTAACAAAACCTCGGAACCCAAAGTTTGCACAGCGGTTTGAAGAGTACAAAAATTAATCTCTCTTCTTTAAACATTCACATTTTAGTGAGGAAACCCAAGACAACCTGAGGCTCAAAACCGGTTCCTTTGAAACCGAGGAACACTCATCATTCACTACGTCGAAACCATTTGATCTTACGCGGCCCACATGCTCTACCACAAACTCCACATGCTTTTTGCCAACTTCTCATGATCCACTGATGGCCACGCCGATCACAATTGAGCAAATCATGTTACACGACCAACTCCGCGAGCCACTGACTGAATCAAAACAATCCATCGAGACCGCCGATCCCATATTTCTAAACAATATAACTTTTGGAACTTTAAACGCCACACAACCCACCAGTACTTCCACCGTTGTTTGGATATCCGCTCCACCAGGTTCGCCTATAAACTTCACAGACAAGTCGTCCAATACAACAACTGTCCCACTGCTATTTCACATACCTTTACATGTATCAACTTCATCCGCATTTGATCGATTTGAAACAAGACAGAATTTTCCCGCGTTGGACACGACTCAATAAGTGTGACGCAAACGTTATTATCCTTCGCTGTGAATAACCAGATGTTTTAGATTGCAAAAGACACGTGGAAGAGAATGGTGGTTTCAATTATCCTAGAGCTCTCTTTGTATTTTTCAGTGACAAATGCTTTTATACCGTGTACTATATTACCTGAGTGTAAATCCATCATTTTTCTCCGCAAAAAGCCGAGCACGGTAAATTTCAAAGCACAGAATTTCACGTGGAATGAGGTGGACACGTTGAACTCTCGGAAAGTTCAGCAACTATGATCGATTCGCACACAAGGACAAGACATGTCGATAGATAGTTAGATATCAAGAGTAACTCAACATGAAAAATTTTATGCAGAACTAGCTTTGGCAGGAACATAAATCCTGTTAAGGCTGTTTGAGTCTTTCATGAAAACCAAGTTGATTTGCAAATGAGTGTATTTCTCGAAAACAGTCCAATTCGGGTTCAAGTAGAACATGAGGTTGACGGAAACTCGGGGACCGTATCTACCTGATGAGCCCCAAGAAGGGCGAAACCGGTCGTGGGCTGTCGAAGAGTTTTCAGCAACCTTGTGAGTAGTTTCCTTTATGTTTGTATGCCATTCATGCAGGCCCGTTGCCATCCCAAGAGTATTCCAATGAAAAAGGCGCAGATTCTCTGCCCATACACGTAAATATCGCCCCGCGGTCAGCTATGTAAAGTTTCCTGTTGGCGTCTTCGATTTCCCGTGCATTTCATGCCGCTAGGTATTTTGCGGGTGTTTCGAGTCAAAGAAACTGCAAACAACACAGCTGCTAGGCAGATGTTAAATATCATGGGGAAAGTGGCCAGTTCGTGAACAGTTCAGGAAAAACAGCAACGTTAGAGGGCGTAGTAGTATTAATTTGACTAGGATTCAATGCTGCTCCAAAAATCCAACTGAGGTGAACACTTTTCACATCACAAACGAGAGACTTGGCTGGATTTTAGGTGGGTCTCTCGAAAAACCAAATTGGTCTGCAAATGAGTGTATATTCGCTAATTTCGCTCAATTTGGTTTCAAGTAGGACATAAGGTTGACAGAAACCCGGGGACTGCGCCTATCTGATGAGCCCCAAGGAGGGCGAAACCGGTCGTGGGCTGTCGACAGATTTTCAGCAACCTCATGAATAGTCATCATCATCATCGACAGCATGACATCAGTGTTCAACACCGATGCTTCACTGCCGTAGTACATTACAAAGATAAACTTTAGGCTCACTTTTTTACCAGCCTTTTGTCTTAGTGCACATCGATCAACTCTTATGGATCTCTGTTACATACCAGATTGACCTTGGCAGACTAACTTTTAAGTGGAAGATATTCCGGAGTGCATATTTCGCCTGATAGTTAATCCGACCTTATATAAGAGTAGTGCGCACCCAGTGAAGCTGGAAAACATCGCGTTCCACGCTTGTGTCTGATAATCCCTCGGTCTACTCTGCTCCAAAGAAACAGTAAGTGAGTAAGGGTGCAGTAACGGTATTTTCCTCAGCTTAGTCCTCGATCTGAGCGTCCCAACTAGCGTTCAGGTCAAAACAATCACCAAAGGTGCACAAGACCCATTAATGCCCAAAACGAGGTCAGGAACAGTTGTACAGCGCTTCGTATATATAGCGTAGGCGGTTATAACTTCCTGGAACTTCTGACGCGTTCTGGATGCGACATTGGCAACCGGCATTTGGCGAATACTGGGTCATGATTGGCTGTTGGGTCCAGATTGTTGACCAATCAGATCTCGTCTTGATGTCGGACCGGCAAGTGTCCCAAAATCTTGGCCAATCTCGTGTGGGCTAGGCTTATCGGCCGTAGCAGCGCCTGAAGACGTGCGGTATAGAGGGATCCGTGTGGATTCCTGCGTAACATCCATTCTGCTCTTAAGAAACAGCAAGTAATTGGGGGCTAATCACAATGCTATTAAACCGCTTGAGACAACAGGTTGTGTTCAACAAATTGGACGAAACGTCACAGATTTGAAACTCCCTACTGCAATTTCGTGAGATGATTCTCATGTACCCCGATACGGTTAAAACGGCTATAATCTATCTCTTGGTTTTTCAGCATGGTGAGTGACTAATCCGTCGGAAGTCTTCGATGGCCTTTAGTCTCCAAATAGCTTCTACATTCACATCATGAATATTGGAATATACCGAATAGGTACATCATACCGCTCCAGTAGATACGATTTCAAGCAAATATTTATTAGTCTTCGTGGTCAAGTGGGGAAAACTTTTCATTGATCCTCTGGCGGGAGCTTAATTGGGGCATCCGTTTATCTTGACTAGTCTTAACACCAACAAATTAACTCCAGACGCCTCCGCACCATCTTTGAATGATCCTACGCTTCCTTGAGTTCCTATTTACTGAAGCATACTCTACAGGGTAAATATACGCCTAATAGCCACTGAGTGACTAAGCCAGTAAGTCAGACATTTTAAAAATGGACTGCGAAATACGGGCTGTTGCGCTTCACTTCACACCTCAACTGGCAAATAGAATCAGCGACTCGTGACTGGAAAGCGCACGGTAGTGTGGATAAGACCATCGATTGAAATACACGTTAACTGGGGTTTACTAATCTTCAGTGTCAATTACTTGGAAATCCATGCTGCCAAGAATAAAGCTATTGCACGAGACATTCCGCCGTAAGTGATGCTGTAAGTGATGAGCAGGTGGCCGCTCAACTTCCGGGCTAACATCTCAACTTTTGAATAATACAAGAAGCCGGTTGACGATGACTGTGACTTTACAATATGACCACCACTACCATACAACGTTATCCCCCGAGGACGCCGTTATCAAGTAGAAGCTGTTTAGACTCTATTAGAAACTATCAGTTTACACACACTAACTGGATCTGTGTCGGAGATCAGAACTTAGACAAAATCTTGTGTGCCACTATTAGTGCGCTGTTGAAGATGGCCATNGGTGTATGCACCAATAAGCGTTTTTGACATGGTTGACAGTTATGGGTTGCAACATGTATAAAAATTAATACAATGCGAGATGGGATCAGGTCAAAAAAGGGGCTTATCGTTGGTGAGAGTTCCTTGATGAAGGTCCGGACGGTGGGAACGTGTTTTTTCCGCACTACGACCGCTACACGTGTTCCATAATGTCCGTGGGCCTGTAGAGAGAGGTTGGCTTCCTGCTTCCTGCGCGCGTGCGAGTCTGTGTGTGCTGAATGTGTTCGGTTTCCCTGTATGTAGGTCCGTTTGCGTGTACCTGGGCGCGTCAGCACATTAGTAGTGGTGGTGTGATGGCTTACGCACCTCAGCGATCCATTGAGCTATACTGGAGAGTATCGTGAGACACTCACAGAGTCTCTCATACCAGGTTGGTCAATGGTTAGAGGTCTGACGAACACAGTCTCCTGGCCCTCCAGGTTGGGGGATGGAACATGTGGCGACTTGTTCCATAGAAATGGTAATGCATTTGCATTTCCCGCCAAACACCGCTGCCTGGCGGTTAGGCTTTTGAGCCAAAGGCTTTGGTTGAGGACCCTAATCGTCCTCCTGTCTAGGTGTGGGCGCCCTGGTAGTATCCCAGCCCACGTACAACCATGAATTGCACATAAACAAATAAACTCATGCCACATCGGCCGTCGCGTGGTGCCATCAGCCGGGTCGCCTTACTTGCTGCATACAGCAGGGCGAGTAAGCGAAAACAGGCTACTGCTTCTCCTTCACGTACCTTGACACCTCATTCGGTACATATAGCAGGGCGGGTTAGGAAAACAGGCTGCTGCTGACGCCTTCCTTCTTTCTCCTTCACATACTTTTTCTAC